AGTGGAGGGGGCGGTAGGATCACATGTCCTTATCCACCGGAAGCATGTGTCACATCAGCTGGCAGGGTCTATTAGAGTCAACAGATCTCCTGATCTCCCCAAAATACTGTGACACAGTATAGGGAACAAGGAGGTTAACAGTATTTCCAAGAGGTACTAGGAGGCTGACAGTGAGGTGTCTGCAAATATATTATCTAAAGAGACTGGATTTTTAGTTTGTCTCCTTGTGTGAGAAGAAGGAACTGCTGAGCAGTACAGAGAACTGCTATGAGAAACAGTAATAATGGCTAACGTTGAACAAGCACAACCACTGTGAGCCCTCTGCGTGTCATCCTTGAACCCCACAAGCACCCTGTGAAGTAACTACTACGATCACCCTCCTTTTACGGATGTGGATATGAGACCCAGAAAGGAGGAAAACCACACTTGTGTGACACATCTAGTGTAATGAAGAGCTTAGAGCCAGGCAGTCTGACTCCAGAGCCCACAGTGTAACCTCGAGGACAAGATGTGTGCTACCACGTCACCCCTCAAGAAACTGACAAAGCAGTTACAAGGTCAAAGGGTCAATAGTACTGTCTTGTCTGGTAAAGGTTTTAAACAAGGCAAATGATATTCCTAGGTTACACATGAATGTAACGAACCAGTGGTTGGGACACGGTGTCCACCTCTGCTGTTTACTTTTCAAGCCCTACCTCATCACATCATCTTCACCCCCAAGCCCCTGACATGCACAACTGACAATTTGGTAGTCACCCTTGACTCTTCGTTCCCCCGCACAAACTCATCAGCGGATCTGCTTGATCATTTAAAATATACCCGAAGTCTCACCACCTCTCACATGGCCGTTGTATCTGGGGCCGAGATCAGGGTCAGAATCAAGAAGCCCCTGTGATCATTGCTGCTACTGTGCCTGCCGCCTCCTGCACCCCAGGGAGCTGAAGAACCACGACCAGGACGCGGCCCTGGAGACCTGCTTCCACGACCCTGCCTGCAGCAGCAGACCGGCCAGAGCAGGGTAGGAAACTCCCTCCACCTGAGTTTTGCTTCCCTAATCGTTTCTTCCGGTGAACCCACATACTTCTCCTTTGGCATGCATAGGATCAGCTTCCTGTGGTCCATTCTTGTGTCTTAGCCCACTAGACTTCTAGCTCCAAGAGGGACCCTGTGCCCTCACCTTTTTACGTTCCCCAATAGTATCTAGAATGCAGTCCTGAGGTACATAGGTTTCACAGGGAACAAAGAACTTTTCCAGGATGGATTTTTTTTGGCGAGGGGGGGCACACAAATTGTCTTGTTGGATCTTAGTTCTCTGACCAGGGATTGAACTTGAACCCAGGCCTGCAGTGAAAGCAGAGTCCTAATCGCTGGACTGCCAGGGAATTCTCAAACCAAGTTTTTCTTAATCATTAGGAGACTAACATCCTTCTTCACTGCCATACTCATAACTTAGTTTTAGAGCTGATTCTTACCTATGTCTTGGAGCGTGATGAAAATAAGGAAAAATCTATCCAACTTAGTTTAATTCTAAGAAATTGTTCGGCTGTGAACAGTTTTAGAAACAATCTTCAAATGTTCAATGTAAGTATACCTAGCTTTCAGGAAAACATCTGCCCTTTTGAAGTTCTTAAGTCTATACAAGTTCATTGACACTTATTCCACACTATAGTTACATAATATTAAACATTAAATTGATTTGACAGGAGAAAAAGACATTTCTGATGTCAAATGCCAAACCATAAATCTAAAGTACTGTTGTTTAGTTGCGAAGTAGTGTATGACTCTTTGTGACCCCATGGACTGTAGCCCACCACACTCCTCTGTCCATGGGATTTCCAAGGCAAGAATACTGGAGTGGGGTGCCATTTCCTATTCCAGGGGATCTTGCTGACCGAGGCTTCAAACCCATGTCTCCTGCCTTGCAGGTGGATTCTTTACTGATGAACCACTGGGGAAGCCCTATAAAGTATTGGGTTGGCCCAAAAGTTCATTCATTTCTTTGGTAACATCTTACAGAAAACCCAGAACGAAACTTTTTGGCCAACCTAATATTAATGCTCTTACAAATACATATGAGAATACTTGTTTGTTCTGTAAAATTTTATTCTATTTGATGGTTCCTATGGTTGTAAACTGCGAGTTTTTCTTTTATAGTATTAGCCATTCTACTGAAATAAAAAATTCATGAGTTCTCCTTTTAGTATCGCCTCTAAACGCACAAAAGAAAACAGAACTATAATTGAAAGAGGAATGTTTTATGGTCTTCATTATTTGATTTCCCCAAAATCATATTAAAGCAGACTCTAAGGCCCTATGATTTGAATTTTTTTAAACATATAATGAGATTATAAGTAGGACAATTTGGGACATGATTCTTTTTAAGATTCATTTTTGATAAAAGAGAACGCTACTTTTCTCTGTTCACATTGTATGACACAGATCAGTATTTTTTTTAACATTTACCTGTTTGAAATGTTTGCAAAAAGCTCTAATGATGAACAATAATAAATTATAATAATACATGAAGTCATAAAAAAGAGTTCTGAAAATTAAGAACAAGTACAACCTTGACATTACATGATCAGGAGCCTTGTTATGTCAACAAAACCTATGGCTGTTTTTCTAAAAGGTTAGGTCAAAGTTCTACTCCTCCAAATTACCAGTCCTTTGACTATAGCTCAATATCATATGGCTTCACTGTAGTATTTATTACTACAGTTTCACTTTTATTTTGGAAGTGAAACTTCTGCAAGATTAACAACTAATGTCCTCCCTGCTTTGTATCACATTCTTAAAATGGATAATGCACTTCAGCAACTGAAGTGTGTTGTATATTTTCATTTCAAAAACAGCCACAAACTAAAGCAGATATTTAAAATCTTTATTGTTTCATCATCAAAAGTTCTCTTTCCATAGAAGAATGGCAATGCAGGGTCAGTGCATATTCTATGGAAAATTCAGCCCTCAAGTAATTTTAGCCTAGAAATCAGAGACAGCACTATGTCAAGCTAGTGTGCAAGGTCAAAAACACAATGCTGCCAGGGCGATTATTATACAGAAGAGATCCGCAGCTGCTAGAAAGAGTCTACGGCCAAGTAAATAAGACAGTAGCAGTGCACCGCACTGGCATTTTAGAACAGAAAACAGGGAAGGACCAGAGACTGTACTTTTGGCAAAAAGAAAAACTTGAGTAGATCACAGGCACTGAGTCCCCAACTCTACCCCCAGCTGCCTGCCCCATGAGTAGCTGTCCCTTCGTCCTCAGGCCTACCTCGTGACACCGCAAGCCGCCTTTGGCTTGTGGGTAGACGTGACAGCCACACGCGGGTGTTTCATCCTACTGCCCATCTCACGGCTCAAAGTAACAACTTGGGTTGGGTAAAGAAGCCTTGAGGCATCTCTAGTAGAAAGCTGAACAAACCCACAATCTGTTCCCTGTTTTGGGAGAAATCAACTTTACAGAACGAGATAGTTGTTGTGATTACTGTTTCATCCGAAGGCGAAACAGATTTTTAAGTAAGTATACTGAAGAAACATACAAACAAATGTCCTTAGCAAAATACTGTCAGACCTGGACGATTTTCAAAACTCCTGAAACAAACATTGATCATTGTGAGAGAGGCGAATGACCACGATAACTTGATCATGACTGGTTACTGGGAATCTGGGGGTCAGGTTTGTGTCTGAAGCTGCCACATAGCTGGACTTGGCTGCTTTGCATGAATTCACATAATCAAGGCCATTTATGAAAGGAAACAGCGTATCTCTGAGGGTGAAAGAAAAAAAATGTTGAGAAGTACACAGGAAACGCGTCTTTAGTATTTTAAAATCAAGTATGATATAACCTGAGGGAATAAGTACTACCATTCCCGTGTTCCAGATCTTGACTTGTTAATATATGACTGGCAAGACTAAGAAGTCACTCGTTAATCACCTCAAGGCCTTCTGCGTGGGGCAGGGACACTCTGAAGGTATGGCCGAGCACTCAGCTCTAATGCACGGGAACACCTGTCTCACTGAATACACACAGTGTGTAAACCAAGCCACGAGAGGCGGCAGCAGAAGTACTCCAGCATGCAGGTGCGAGCACCCACGTCCCCGTGTCAGCCGCAGCTCCACGTGGGTCCCTCTACCCGTGCAAAACATGAGCGCCTCAAAGATCAAGAATTCCACTTATAAATAGAAACAACATTGTTAAAAAACGGAATTTCAACCTCCTTTCTTCCTGCCATGCAACTCACTCTAACTATAATAAACATAAATAAAAACCATGTCTCAAAAATCTGTTTTTACACTCTTACCTTTAACCATAAGTCCTTCGAGCAACTGAGAATAAAAGCACTCCTTTGCAACAATTCCATAAAATAATTTTCAATTCACAAAACACCTGCTTTCTGGCAAAACCAGCAACTATTATGGAGGGCACGGCATTAATACTTGGCCCCTCTGAGGTATAAATGCAGCTAGATTTGCACTGAGTACATAGTCTATAAGGTATACTAATGGTCTGCATGTTTGTATAAAATTGGGAGTGTCATCCTGACTGATTGAAAAATTTATTTTTATAACTATGTGTAGTAATGGAGGTTAAACAATTTTAAGGAAAAAAAAATGTATTTAGCCCAGTAATAGCTAGCAGAACTCTAATGCCTAACCAATGTAAATGGTTATTACATTTAAAAAATGTTTAACATTGCATATTGATTAAAAAAAAAAACCGAACAGGAAAAACACATAAATATTTTAAATTCAGCAGGACACCACAAAAAGCATACTACAGATAAGTGTGAAATCAGTCAAGCTCCTCCAAAAGAGAAAATCCGTTTAATCCTTCAGCAAGTCTCTGTGAAAATAGTATGCTTACAATACAGTGAGAAGGGAGCACCCGGGACACCCCGAGAGGCCTGCTCCACCGCTCAGCATCACTGCCCTGTCTCCTGTGTGCGTGGACGGCCGAGATATGACAAGAAGTCCATGTGACAAGAGTTCAGTGATTCCTTTCACCACTGCTGCCAGCTGAAGTCATCATTGCTTCCAAAGACCAAGAAAAAGCCCAGGATAGTTGCAAAGATGACGGTGTTTCCCGTGAGGACGAGTGCACAAGCTCCCCACTCGATCTACGGATGTAAGACAGAAATGCTCAGTTAACAGACATGAAAGACACAAGGAGACGGAAAGCAATCAAGGCTCCAGTTGTACGTCAACCACGATCCCGAACAAAGACATATAATAATGACTCTGAGCCTGCTGAACACGTAATGTCTCTTCCTGTAGACCTGGCTCTTCTTGTAGACCTGTGATTCCTTTAAAGAGACAGAAAGGGCATGGAAGACGATCATTTTTGAAAAGCAAGCTTGACTTCTGGGTTATGAAGAGGCAGCATGGAATTCTACGATTTTCTGTTTTCAGAGAAGTTTGCTTCAAATCTTCCTTAGTGAATCTAAAACATTTTACCTAGAGAGCAGATTATATTAGAGCATGAGAGATGCAAATGTACTCGTGTATGGTCTACTAAAGGGGCAGGGGGAGTCACTGCCCTCTCTGGGTGGAAGGGTGGCCAGCCTGTCTTCTTTGCCGTCTGATCTTCCCAGACAGAGGAGCGAATCTGACTGGTGAGTCAGGGAGGTCTCTTCTACTCTTTGGTTCCTTTCCACCTGCAGAGATTTCCTCGGGTCTTCAATGTTTTAAGCTGAACAGGGTAGGCCTGTGGTTGTGCAGCACGGGGCAAGTCCATGTCCCCAGTTGTTACCTATCTATTTAAGTTCTTGACCGCACCACATGCTATGTGGGATCCTAGTTCCCTGAACAGGCACTGAACCTGGGCCCCTGTGTTGGGAGCATGGAGTCTTAACCACTGGACCACCAGGCAAGTCCCCATGTACCCAGTTCTGAGAGTGAAGTACTGACATGCCAACCGCTGCTGCCAATGCATTCCAGTATTTTTGCCAATTAACAACAAAAGTAAGATTCTTCTCTCTGACCGTCTAGGTTCCTATGTTTCTCATCTCTTTTTCATGTCATTTAACAGACTTTTTTTTTCTGAGAAAAACTGAACATAGTGTACTGCAAAATCGTGAGTAGGAGAATGCTGTCACTTACCAGATGTGCTCTGGCAAATACGATAGGAAGGCCAAAAGCTGAGACCACAATGCCTGTTGTAAGAAATATGGCGAGTTCCTTACAGGCGTTACTCATAGCATCCGTATCGTCTACTAATCTTCTTGCTATGCAGTATGGAATAGGTGAAAGGATATAGAAGAACAGAACAAAGAGGGGCCAGTATTGGCTAGAAAAGGAAAAATAAGTTAATGTAGTTTTTGCTTTGTCATTTTCCTACATACAGAATATACTCTTTTTTAAAAAAAGGACCAAAATATACTGCAAGGTACAAATATGATACAGTTTAAATATAAGCTAAACACCAAGAAAAACGTTTTGAGTCACAGTATACCTAAAGTCAACTATGATACAATGATTAAATATTTCTTAAATGAAAAGAAAATGCTTTATGATTTGTAACAGTTGGAATTAAGGCCCAAAATTAAAAATATTTTATTTTAGGTTATGAATAAAAAGGCATATGAAAAATGGGATTGTTAACACAGTAATTTTTAAAATTCAAGATTCATGTCCTTGACTTCTAAAATCCTGCTTTGGTACGAAGCTGGAACATCCCCAAACCTTCCTTGGGTCATTAGGAACTCCCAAAATGCTGCATACAGAAAATGAACTGAAAGTAATACTGAAGACTTTCAATCAGAATGTCAACTTTATCACAGTAAAAATCATCTAGCTATTGTATTGTGCCATGTCCTTTCCTGGTCTGGATAATATAAAACATTTATGTAAGATATTACCACTGGGAGAAGATGTGTGAAGGGTGCCGGGAACTTTGTGCTATTTTTGCAACTTCTTGACAATCCATCACCATTTCAAAATAAAATGTTAAAATGAAATAGATGGCTTTTAAAACTGCCATAAAATACATATCATAATGGAGATTTGCTTGTACTTAGACGCTTATGATAAGCAAAGATTTATCTATGCGTTTCTTCTAAAAATCTTTTGCTAAATATTTTGAGAACGACAACAAAAAATTACAAATGGGCATAAGTTTAAGGGAAAACACATGCAAAAAATACAAAAGGACAAAAAGTGAAAAATCAAGGTTGCCCAAGTCTTCCCTGTCTTCTCTTTCCCATTCCTACTGGTGTGGGTCCTTCCAGATTCCCACATGGATAAACTTCTAGAGATACAAATGAAATCACTGCACTTTTAAATTTAACAAGATTGCCTGTTTAACAGATTAGCAATCACAGCTCTTTCTCGTCTCTTATAAGACGACCCAGTATTTCCATCAGTGGATGTACTAATTTATCATTTTTCTCTTGCTAGACCTTTAGGATGCTTCCAGTTTTCTTGTTGTTGTTGGTATTATAACCAAGGCCGCCATGAACATCCATACTCTCCCCTGACTACACATATCTTTGTAAACATCTGCAAGTAGATTTGTATGAGTAATTTCTAAGAAGTGGAAGGATACATTTTGAGAGCTACAGGCAAACTGGTCCCCAGGAGACCTGCACCTGTTTGAACTTCCACCCACAGTACATGACAATGCTTATCTGTCGTACCTTTTACCTTTGCCAATTGAGTCCATGTGATTAAAACAGAATGATTTATTTCTGGCTGTGCTGGGTCGCCCCTGCTGCGCACGGGCTTCCTCCAGTTGTGGCAGCTGGGGACCGCTCCCGAGTGCTGCGGCACGGGGGCTTAGCTGCCCTGAAGCGTGTGGGTCTTCCTGGATCAGGCGCTGACCTCCTGTGTTGGCAGCAGGATTCTCGATCACTGAGCCACTAGGGAAGTGCTAATTTCGAGTGAGGCTGAGTATCTTTTCATGTTCTTATTAGCAAACGGCAGTCCTTTTTACATATTTGTTGTTCATTTTTCTATTGTGCTGTCTATATTTTTCTTACTAATTTATCCTATTGATTTAAAAAACTCTCTCTGTCCTACAGAGTAATTGTTTACATAACTTTTTTCTTTGTCAGTTGGTTTTGACTCTGCTTACAGTTTTTTGTTTCTGTTGAAAAAGACATTTTACATTTTCGTGTCTATAACTTAATCAATTGGTTCTCCAGATGAAGCAGTAGTGATGAGTTACCATTTCACTATCTGGCCATTAAAAACTTGGCAGCAGTCAAGGAACAACAACCAAAGTCTTTTCTACATGCTGCTGTCCTAAGATACTTTCAAACAAATTTTAAGTGAGGACTTAAAAGTTTATCCTTAGCAAATGACCATTTCTCAGGTTTACTTCTATTGCAGTAAAAATAAAAAAAGAAGTGTTTTAACTTTAAAAGCAGAAAAATTTTACACTTTGGGCTTCCCTGGTGGCTCAGTGGGTAAAAGTAGAAAAATTTTACACTTAAACACAAAAAGACAAAAATGTTACATACTTGTATATTGGGAGGGCACATCCAAGCATTAAAAACATCAGTCCAATTGCTCCTCCAAAGGACAAGCTAATCAAAGCTGCAGAGTAAATAAAAAGTCAAACAGAAACAGCAATTAAATCAGCATTTATTTTTATTAACATTACTATTAGCAGTCAGGATATTCCCTGAAATCCCAGAAACAAAAAGCAAGACAAAACACACCAAAAAAGCAAATGTATTAGTGACTCATCTTCAAAAGCTGGAGTTACCTTGTCTCAGAATAAGCTATTTGAGGCATCTTCAAAGCAAAATACAGTGATTCTGATTTTCAAAGCCCTGACAGATGCCCAGCACATTACCACATTCCCAAATTAATGGTCCCATGTCAAAGGAGTCCCACCCCAGTCTGCAAGATCGATGCTCCTCCAGCCTTTAGTATGGTATTTGTTGTAGTTTAGTCACTAAGTCGTGTCCAACTCTTTGTGACCCCATGGACTGTAGCCCGCCAGGCTCCTCTGTCCGCGGGATTCTCCAGGCAAGAAAACTGGAGTGGGTTGCCATTCTCTTCTCCAGGGGATCTTCCCCACCCAGGGATTGAACCCGAGTCTCCTGCATTGCAGGTGGATCCTTTACCGCTGAGGCATGGGGGAAGCCCAGTGTGATATGACATTTACTCCACAGATCTCCAGTTTTCAAAAGCAGTCTGTGGAGAAACTCTGCAGTCTGCTTTACTGGACTTTAGAGGTCTCGTCTATGGGAAATCCTCTCCTGATCAGCGCCTGCTTCTTGCATATACGCCCCCGGCGTGAAGAGATGAAAAGTGTTCAAGGGTACCTATAGTCAATAATCTCAATTTTGCTACAGATCTTTAAATAGCTTGCAAAACTACAGTCAGATTTCTTTCCCCAAGCTGCTACACATCAGAAAATGTTCAGGATCATAGGTACAATCCTTCAGTTGTACCCCATTTTAAGACATTATCACAAGCCATAGATGCATTCTGTAGGCAAAATACAGTTTCTGAGGTCACACACACACAACACACACACCCCCCTATACAAAGCATATATTTTATAAAGTGTTTTCACATATATCAGTGAATAGAAACAATGTTCTTGAAAAAGTATACTTAATCAACAGTCTAGAATTAAGCAAAGAAATAAATGATCAATTTGAGCTCCACATAATCTCTATTTCTGCAACTAATAGTGGCTAAAAGAACAACTTTCTTTTTTGGTCCAAGGATGCAGTCTATTAACCTTAACAGAAACATTAAAATTCAAAGGAGCTGTCAAAAGTCTACAAGTTAGCAAGACAAGACCCAACATATACAAACCAAAATTAACACTAAAGGGGTTAAATGCTGCTCAGAAATAGATATACTTCTCTGAATTAAAACGGTCATAATCAAGGATACCCACAGACATGGGAGCTGAGCAGATTTAGTTTTCATTCTGATCACTGATGTAGGTCATGTCAACCCTGAACACATTTATGTCCTTAATGCCATCAGATTTTCAGTTGCATGAGGAAAAGAAAAATAAAAATATCTGCACTTTAATTTGTGGCAGAGGAGGAGCTTTAAGTTTCCAAGGGAATGCGACGTCAACAGTGAGGTAAATATCGAGTTTACCGTGTTTTGTTCAGTTTAAGACAGGTCCTCAGAAGCTGGTCTTACCTGCTTGTGAGGACATGCATTCACCCCAGGTTGCACCCCTTGGCCTCTGCGTCTGTACTGGCCTTCTTTCCTCCCCTGGAAGTCAGTGGCTCTCTCAACCACAGGCCCTTTGCACATGCTCTCCTTTCTATCTCAGATACTTTTTCATTCACTCATTTCATTCAAGAAATGTCTACAGAGAGTCAAATACCTAACAGGTGCTGGGGTGGTGTTAACGAACAAGGCAAGGCTGTGAACAACTAAGGAGCTTGCATTCTTATCCCAGCTCTGGCCTCTTTCCACCACATGAGCTCCTGCTTTTCCTTCAGATCTCAGCCCAGTTACCTCTTCCTCAGTGAAGTTTTCGCAAAGCCCCTGACTAGACCTATTCCCCCTATTACGTTTATTTATTCCTTCACTCTGCAAATATCTACGGAGTGCCTCCTGAGTGCTGCACACTGTTCTTGACACTGGAGATAGGGCAATGAAGAGAAATGAAAACTCTTGTTCTCATGCTTACATTCTGTTGGGAGAATAAAGTGATTTTTTTTTAAGTAAACAAAAGTCAAATGTTATTTAAAAAAAAAACAAAAAACTAAGGGCATAGGAGTGCTATTCTAGATATATCGGCCTGGAAGCCATCTTTGAGGAGGAGACATCTGGGCAGAGATCTACGTGAAATGAAGAAGCAAATCAACCCTGTGGCTATGTGGGGGGACATTTCCGGCTGGGGCACACATGTGGAGGCTCTCTTTGCTCTGGGGTGCCTCCCCTGTGCTCATTTATCATAGCAGCCAGGTTTTTGGTTTGTTCTCAGAAAAAATATAATTTTATGTGTCATTATCAATTAATAATTTCCTTAAACTGAAGTGTAAATAAAATACATGCTTGGTAAACAAAGATTAGTAGAATAACCGATTTTGAATACATTTAAGCTATCAAGTTACCATGACATTTGGACAACCAGACATGAAAAGGGTTCAGTATAAATGTTTATGCAATGCTATACAGATTCGTTTGTCTTTCCTTCTAAGCTGTTCACACCATGGGAGCAGAGATTTTCTACTGATTCTCAGGCCTCAGCTCTTAACACTCCATAATAATTATGTGTGGAATGAACGAAAGGAGGCTGAAGGAAAAGACAGAGGGTGGGGAGATGGAAAAAAGAAGACATGAGAAGAGAGCCCCGTGCAGCTGAGCAGAAAGAGGTGCAAGCGAGAGTCAAGAGGCACTGGGGCCCAGTTCCCACCAGCCACTGACTATCTGACTGTGTAAGTCATCTGGGCGTCAGTTCTTTCTTCTTTAAAATAAGGGGTGGACTAGATCTAAAATGCAAATAATTCTCTGAACACTAAGATACTTGTTACAAGACATGCTGAAGAAGTAAAAAACAAACAAAAAAACCCAACTCTGCTTTTTGCAAGGTAATTGCCTAACAGCTCAGTTCGTCACTATAGTAACACCTTATTTATACAAAAGCCATTTATGCAGACTATAGCTTATAAACCTGGAGGAAACAGAGAGACCACACAAGACGTCACAAAGCCCACAGGTTAAAGCTAACATTCTTTACCCTCTTTTTTTTTTCTTTACTCTCTTATTCAGAAATTGTTTATTTGATTTTTGTGACAACTGTTGTATGTTGGAATGAAATCTTTTTACTTTAAAGAATCACCTACGCTCACTTATACATATATATTTCAATAGGCAATTCATGTACCCAGAGCAAAGTTAAGTGAAAAGTAACCTTCCTTTCCTGGAAGCAATTACTGTTATCTGTATCGTGTGAGCACAAAATTTTGTAAGCTTATTTTGCTTCCCATATTGAAAATGATGAGAAACAGGAGGGAGAGCTGCAGACAAGAACTGCCCTCTGATTGGAGGGAAGAAACTGGAAAAAAAAAATTTCCAGTTAAATCAGGCATAAAAATCTCAAAAAGCACACCAGATTTGTGATAATCTTGGCCAAGAGATTAGTAACCTTAGAACTTGGCTGCAGTGGTTAACACTGTTCTATGACAGAGAAAAATTACTTACATTCTTATCATCAAAAAAGAGTCTAAATTCTTTTTAGTATGCTCTTAAAAAGTTAATGATGACCTATTAGAAAAAACAAACAAGGAACTGAAAAGAGATAAGATTCAGGTATCAAAAGATTACTTGGTGTGACATCTCACCTTTGGGTCATATTGGATAAGATAAATACCAATGGGGTTAGATAAACTGCTCAAAAAGTGTTCTCCAAAGTGTAAAGTTCCTCCAATCTTATGAATCAACAACCAGGCTGAGGTATATACAAATCTCACCATCTATGTATAAACGGATGTCCTAGATGACAGATGAACACGGCAAAATTTTACACTGTAATTAAGTGATGCAATATTCAGAAGGCAAAGCTTATATGAGTCTGGTTTCTACTCCCAAAGCCTCCAGGTTAGGGGTGGAACAGGCCAATTATCTAAACTCTCAAGACACTGGGTTTTGTTTCTGTGATTACAAAAAGACTTCAGTAGGAGAAGGGACCTAAGCTGGGAGTTACCAGAAAAATCCAATATGTAACAAAGTAATAGACAAATGATTTGACAAGTCAGTGCAGGATTCAATTATATTAACCTAGGTCAACAGGAAGAAAACATCCTGATAACAATCACAACAATCAGAAAACTGTACTGAAACCAAAAGTGTAAGTACAATTCCGTCTGAGATACTTTCTGCTGATTAATACTCACCCAGCCCATAATTACAAAGTTATTTTCCTGGGAGAGAGACTCCTATATTAACTGACAGTACAGAAATGGGGAAGAACTGGGAAACTGGCAACATCTTAAAAAACACATTTCTACCGTGACTACCTTTCACACAGGTATTTTAAAAGGTGTGTTATAGTTCAAAAGGAGACTAGAAAGTTATCCCAACTGCTCAACTGACAAAGTTTTCTACCGGAAATGTTTCCAGACATTATAAATAAATAAGTAACAGTAAACAAGTGACTCTGGGGAAGAAGCTCAGCAAAATCTGTCCTTGAAGGAAAAAAAAAAAAAACAGAAAAAACACTTATTGAAGTTCTTCACTTCCTGCTTGTCTGCCCTTCAAAGCCGCAGGTCAGGAAATCAATGTAATTCGTTGTCAAGAATTAAGTTGAAAGCTTTGCTGATGGTTATTTGCTTCTAACCTTTCTAACAAAACTACCAAACACCTGGAGAAAAAAAAATGCAACATTCCCTTCTTTTTTAAAGGAAATAGACAAATAAAACGAGAACTTTTTCATTGAGTTTTAATAAAAAAAACTTTTACCTTAAAAAAAACACACCACCTAACTTAATAAAAACATTGAAATGTGAAAAAGCCTCAAGGTGCAACTGTGGAGAGAGGAGGGAAAAGGAACCCTTTGGGGTCGCTCACGGGCTTTACCTAGTGAGAGCAACACCACAAATCAAAACGCATTCGTTTTAGGAGCGTGAAGCTCAGAGTCCGGGTCCTGAAGCGGACGTGATCGCCGAGGTCTGGGAAAGAACCATCCCTAAAGCCCTTCCAGCGCACTCCTGGGGGCTCGGTTCGGCTCAGCATCCGAAAAGATCGCACTTGTGCCTTTAAATGGGAAATGACACCGATTTTCCATAACTGGCATCTCTGGTGGCCTCCTCAACCCCCTCAAAACCACACCGTGCCGCCTCGCCCTCGGATGCAAACTCCTGCAAAACGCGTGTATGTGGAGCCGAGCGGCTGCGGGACTCCGAACGCCCGGCGGGGCCACTTCAATTCTTCGCACCGGGGGGCGACGGGCGGGAGGTAGGCTGCCGAGCTCAGCACCGGGCGGGGGCTGACGCGGGAGCCGCCAACCCTGCCCAGTCCTTTCCGGGAGCCCGCCGCGCCCACCGCAGCCCGGAGACCGTAGGCGGGGGTCGCGGTCGCGGGAAGCCGGGAGTCAGCCGCCAACGCAGGGAGCCCCGCGGCGCGCGCCTGGTCCCGGGAGACGGCGTGCGGGCCCCGCGTGGGCCCCACGTCCCCTCTCTTGGGGCGGCGGCCCAGCCCGCCCGGGCTCAGCGCCCCAGGCCCACCTTTGATGCCGGCCATGGTGGTGACGTCTCTCCGGCCTCCGGGACCCGAGGCGGCGGCGGCGGCCTGGAGACCGTAGACGCGCGGCGGCGGCGGCCAGACAACACCCGGAAGTGCGCGACGCAGCACTTCCGCCGGCGGCTCGCGCTCGCGCGGGGGCGACGGGGACGCGGGGGGCGCGCCCAGCTGGGCACCGTGGCTCCGAGCCCCTTCCTCCTCAGCTGCGCTGCTGTGGGATTAGCGCTCTCCGAGGCTTTCCACCCCTGTCCGGGTTCGGGGGCGGGGGAAACACCCGCTTCGTCCCGAAGCCCCCAAAGGGCAATCCCGCAACCTCCCACATCCTTTGAGGAGAAGGAACGCGACTGGAAGCCGTCCCCTTGGGACGCGTGGTGTGATGCCTTTGGGGGCATTCTTTAGCTTTCTTCAGAGCGCACCCACTTCTCTCTCCGCTCCATCTGGTAATAAAGGAGCTGTAAGGCCAGGTGGGTGGCCTGCACTTGGCTTCTCACTTTCTGATACAGAATCAGGGTTCTGGTGAGACCCACCTCCCGAAGTAGGAGCGGCGGAACCCAGTAACAGGTGGGATTTAATACAAATACAAACGGGATTTAATACAAATTCGAGCTCTTGGGAGTCTGTGAGAGTCCGTTTTGACTAGGGCTAGGAAAAAGGAGAAAGCAGAGGTACAAATACATTTAGTTAAGTCGTCCTGAAAAGCGATTGAACATTTACCATGGATGAAGTGATCAAAAACTAGATACAGTTTCTGTCCTCAAGGAACTTGCAGTTTAGTGAGACAAACACGAAAAGGTGTAAAATAACAAGGACAATTGCTAGGAAAGTGGATAACTAGCCCAATGAAAGTATGATTTAGCTCCATCAGATAACTATTTCCTTGAGGGACAACAGCAGGATGGACAGGTGCGTAAGTAGGAGAGAAAAGGGAAAAGCCATCCTGGGGAGAAGATAGTGTTTGCAGGGGTGGGGAAGGGAAAGAGCACATTTAGGAATCCTTTTGGGGCACAAGCCCTGGTGACTGAGTAAAGTGCATCTTCCCTAATTTGCTTTTGTGAATACAAAAGGGTTGGGCATTGCAGACATTTGTTCTCCTTGACATTAGTGGGCAACTGGGATTATTCTTCAGATTAGAGGGGTCTATATTCTTTTGCATCCGTGGTCATGAGGAAATCCTAAGTGAATATGCTCTGATTTTTTCCATGAGATCCAGTGTTTCCAGCTTAAAAAAAAAAAAACCACTACCCTAAGGACTATTTTTTTGGACAACAGATGTTGTTTAGAGTCAGTTGAGACATTAAAAACAGTATTTCCAAGTGTTGTATTTCAAAGACCACTTAAAACAGAATTCTTTGGGATGCTTCTTAAAAATGCACATTCCTAAGTTCCACTCAGACATTCTGGCTCAGAACTTTTGTGGACAGAGCCCAGAAATCTGAAATTTTAACCAGCTTCCCAAAGGTCTCCTATGCAAAGCTAAGCTTGAAAATAATTGTCTGAAGAAGGTGGAATGTCAGGAGTTTTCTTCTCATCAGTTTTCCAAGTGAACCCTAAGCATTAATAGGGCTTCCCTGGTGACTCAGATGGTAAAGAATCTGCCTGCAATGCCGAGGCCTGGGTTCGATCCCTGGGTGGGAAGATCCCCTGGAGGAGGGAACGGCTACCCTCTCCAGTATTCTTGCCTGGAGAATTACATGGACAGAGGAGCCTGGCATGCTACAGTCCATGGGATCACAAAGAGTTGGACACGACTGAGTGACTTTCACACTTCATTTCACTTCAGGCATTAATATTACATCCTTTAAATGTTCTTTAAATATTCTTACATAAATTTATAGTTTCAAAAACTTTTCATTCAGATAGTTTCCTTTCTTCCAAAGTCAACTTGGGAAGATGGGGATGAGAGGAAGAGAGCTATTTTTAATTGAGCAGCTGCTATAAACAACTTTTCTGTTGCTTTAAACACTGATCTAATGTAATCCTCTCCACACTTTTGTAAGCTTGGAATTCTTAACTCTTACAGATCAAGTCAGAGACATCTCAGAGAAGTTTTAAAAAAATATTTTGTTGTAGAAAAAATTTAATATATAAAAAAGTAATTAAATAAATAAGTAATCAGAAGTGTCTAATGAACTCCCATGTACCATCAGCTACCTTCAACAATTAATACACAATGTTGTTTTATCTATATTCACATTCACTTTCCTTTACCTCCCATAGTATTTTTCCCAACGTTATTTTGAAGAAAATTCCAGATATGATTTTAATAGCTTGGTATGTTTTGAAGATGATTCTTAACAAAACCACAGAACATTTATCACACCTGAACAATAATTCTTTAATATTGTTATATATGTAGTCAGTGCTTACATTTCCACTTATGAGCATAAGTGTCTCTTATAGTTTATTTGAATCAAGGTCCAAATTGATTTCATATATTGCTACTGCTATGAATCAGAGATGTTTTTAAAAACTGCCTTTTATCATAATAGCTCTCAGCTTGAATGATAACTCTTCAGAACCTTTCCTGGACATCCTCTTTATTTTAGCATTTCACATCATATTACCTTGTTTGCTTCTTGAAGGCACTTATTATTTATCTGAACTATATTATTTGTTGGCTGTCTCTCCCACTAGAATGTAAATTAGTACAGTCCTTTATGTTTTGTTTACTATTGTCTAGAAGTGTATGTGGCCAATGATGGGACCTCAAATAACAGAAATTCTCTTAAGGCAATTAGTGGCCTCTACATTGCAAAATCCAAAGGTCACTTTTTGATCCAACCTTTCAGCAACAGTGGACACTGGTGACCATTCTTTCTCTCAACTACCATACCACTAACCTCCTGTATGTTTCTTATACCTCACCAGAGATTGCTTTTCAGACTCTTTCCAGGATCTTATGCTAGAAGTTCTAATGTTAGCATTCTCTTAATTTGGTCCTGGGCCTGTGTCTTTGTTGGGCTTCCGTGGTGGTTCACACAGTAACTAATCTGCCTGCAATGTAGGAGACCCCAGTTCAATCCCTGGGCTGGGAAGATTCCCCTGGACAAGGGAATGGCAATGCACTCCAGTATTCCTGCCTGGACAATTCCATGGATAGAGGAGCCTGGCAGACTACAGTCCATGGGGTTGCAAAGAGCTGGACACGACTGAGAGACTAACACACTTTCACTCTGTCTTTGCTATATCGAAATTCTCTCCCTATGAATTTTATCTCTATGACATTAAATACTGTTTTCATTTTGATAATATAAATTCAAAGTTCACCTTAGCTTGGAAATTTAGACTTGTCTGTCCAAGTGTCTATTTAACATGTCTATCTGGGTTCCTAACAGTCACCTCAAACCTACCATGTGGAGAGACACATGATTCTAAGGGCATGAGCTCGCTGTGTCCCCCTTTTCTGACAAAGCAATAAAACTGTCCTTTTCTATTTCACCCCCATCCCCCCCAAAAAAGCCTAATATGCAGAGACTAGAATTCTCTATTATCTTTATTCCAGTCCTGCTTGGTCCTACGCCATGCTACCATTGTTGTGCCTCCTCTTGCTCCTTTCTTTCCCAAACCTACTTTCCTTCAGTTGCACTGCCTTTGTTTGCCTCTCCCAACCTCCAGGTTTTGTTTTATTCACTGTATATCCCCAGTGCCTAGAATGCTGCCTTGCAGGTACTGTTAGATACTAGTAGGTGCACTAGTAGGTGCTAAATATAGAAAGGCACTCATCAAATTAGTGAAGGATGTGCCTCAAAACACAAAGCTAGGGCTTTTGCATCTGCCTTTCCCCATATGGTGAAGGCTGTTCCCTGATATTTGCATTTTCTCATCATTCGCGTCTCAAAGCTTAAAAATCACTTCCTCAGCAAGGCTCTCCCTGAAGTTACCTCCTAGGTCTCTAATGCTGTTGTTAAGTGTCCAACTCTTTTGTGACCCCATGGACTGTAGCCTGCCACGCTCCTCTGTCCATGGAATTTCCCAGGCAAGAATACTGGAGTGGGTTGCCATGTCCTCCTTAGGGGATCTTCCTGACCTAGGGATTGAACCTGGGTCTCCTGTATTGGCAGGCAGATTCTTTACTGCTGAGCCACCAGGGAAGCCCCAGTCTCTATTGCATTACTGTTTTATTTTCATCAATGCACTATCACTGTTATCTTTATTTATTATGTTTGTCCTATTTCTTATCAGTGTAAACTCTATGAGAACAGGGACCTTGTCTGTGTCCTCTAAGCCTAAAACAGCACCAGATACATATTAGGCACTCAACCTATATTTGTTGAATGAATGAATGAATGGAGAGAAACCCAGGCCTCTCAAATCTCAAAGATAATGCCTATGCACATAAATGTTTTCTCTGGCTGGTTCTTTATGTAGGTGGTAGTTTCTCCTCCAGATATCTTGTAAATTGCCACTGCCTCCACGTAGAAGGAAATAGGTAAAAGTTCTGAGCTTCGGAAACCAGACTATATTTCCACGCCACCTCTGTCTCAAATCCGCTCTGTATTTAGCAAACAGTAATGGTGTCACCAACTCGATGGGCATGAGTTTGAGTAAACTCCGGGAGTTGGTGATGGACAGGGAGGCCTGGTGTCCTGCGATTCATGGGGTTGCAAAGAGCTGGACACGACTTAGCAACTGAACTGAACTGAATGGTGTCGCACTCACTGTAAAAGACCCTGATTCTGGGAAAGATTGAAGGCAGGAGGAGAAAGGGATGACAGAGGATTGAATGGTTAGATGGCATCACCGACTGATAGACATGAGGTTGAGCAAGCTCTGGGAGTTGGTGATGACCAGATAAGCATGGTGTGCTGAAGTCCAGGGGGTTGCAAAGAGTTGGATGCGACTGAGCCACTGAATGATGTCGCAGAGTCAGACTGTGCGACTAACACTTAATGGAACACAAATCTTGCGCCAGATACCATGCTAGGGACTGAAGATACAAAGTTGAGTAAGACACAGTAACGTCTGTCGGGAAGGTTACTGAGGTTTTATAAATACATAATTGACTACGGTTAGACTTTGTCTGGGGCTTCCCTAGTAGCTCAGCTGGTAAAAGAATCCGCCTGACATGCAGGAGACCCCGGTTCCATTCCCGGATAGGGAAGATCTCCTGGAGAAGGGATAGGCTACCCACTCCAGTATTCTTGGGCTTCCTTGGTGGCTCAGCTGGTAAAGAATCCGCCTGTAATGCGGGAGACCTGGGTTTGATCCCTGGGTTGGGAAGATCCGCTGGAGGAGGGCATGGCAACCCACTCCAGTATTCTTGCGTGAAGAATCCCAACGGACAGAGAAACCTGGCAGGCTACAGTCAAAACAGACTCGAAAAGAGTCGGACACGACTGAGCGATTAAGCATAGCAGAGCACAAAGACTTTGCCTAATAATGGTTTCATTCTTCAACCACAGCACCTTCGCGCTGAACCCTCAGCTGGCCGGCCCTCAGCTCGGCTCGCAGCCTGTGTCCCCGCCCTTGGCTCCGCCCCAACGGCGACGCCCGGCAGGCCCACAGCCGGTGCGGCCACCCTTGGCTCCGCCCAATGACGGCGCCCCGCCCACTCCCCGCCCACTACGGTGACCACTCGGGTCCCCACACGCGGCGCAGCGGTAGTGACGTCAGAGTGGCGCACGGGCCGTCTTGTGGCTGCGGCTCTGCGGCAGATCTTTGTCGGCGGCCCGAGTCACCGCCGTCAGTGCGTAGCGGCGCGTGGACACCTGCCGCCCCGGCTCTGGACCGCGAGTGCCCGGCTGCCGCGTGCCATCTTCGCTCAGCGCCATGGCGGCGGCCGGCGGGCTGGCAGCGACCGGGCGCTGCGCTCCGTCCAGCCTCCTTTTGCTCCTGCTGGTCGTGGGCACAGCCCGGTGCTGGGACGAGCGCGGTGAGTGCCGCCCACACTCCCCCTTCCCGCTGCCTTCAGCCAGCAGAGGACCGTCTCCGCTCGCCGCCCCTTGAGCCCTTCTGCCGTAATTTCTCGTTTTCGTCCTCCTGCCTGTCGCGCGTGCGCTTCCCCGACGTCCTCCGGGACGGGTGGACTGTGGCGAGTGGGCGGGGCGGGTCGATCCTGGCGTGGTTACCATTTTCTTCTCCCCTCCCTGGACTCCCGGAATTGGCCCACCTTCTCCTTTCTTGGGCGGCAGCCCCTGTCCCCCGAGTCTGGGTGGCAAGCTCGACCCTCGCCTGCGCGTCCTGCTTTGTTGTCAAGACTCTGACGTCATCGTCGCTGGCATTTGTCTTGGCTGCCTGTTGCTATACCTGGTGGTTGCCACAGCACCCGCAGTGTCTGAGTCACATTTAGCGGACAGGCTGGAGACATTGGAGATAGATTGTTGTTGTTGTTGTTGTTCTTGTTTAGTCGCTCAGTCGTGTCTGTTTGTGACTGCAGCACGCCAGGCTTCCCTTTTCTTCTTATCTTCCGGAGTTTGCTCAAGCTCGTGTCCATTGAGTCGATGTTGTATCCGACCATATTATCCTCTGTTGCCCCTTCTCCTTCTGCCTTCAGTGTTTCCCAGCATCAGGGTCTTTTTCAATGAGTCGGCTCTTTGCATCAGGTGGCCAGAGTGTTGGAGCTTCAGCTTCAGCATCAGTCCTTCCAGTGAATAATCAAGGTTGATTTCTTTTAGGATGGATTGGTTTGATCTCCTTGCTGTCCAGGGGGCTCTCAAGGTTAGCAGAGACATCGACTGTGCTATTTATGTGAGCACAACTCATGCTGCTGCTTCTGACCATTACAGAAGTCCATTGCGTTACATCAGCTTTTCTCATTGAATTAAAAATATATATATTATATTTTGGTGATGGTACATAATAAGTGATTTTTAAGAAAGTTATATCATGTGTTATTAGAATTTTCTAACGACATTTTATGGGAACGGTAATATTCCATATAATTAATAATGTATGTGTGTATATATACACACAGTCTTTCCAATTAGTGGTGCATGCTGTTAAATTGGAGTGATATAAAAAATGATTTTCAAACAATGAAAACATCATTTTTGCTTTGTGGAGTATTAAAGCATGAGAAGTGTACCAGTATTGCTGTAGTGATTTGCTGATAGGATATGACTGTGTTTTGAACTTCAGCAACAGATGTATTTTTTTAGCTTCTTATTTCTATTTTTAAATGCTAAAAAGAGGAGGTGTTATTTGTAAATACTTGACTTTGACTACTCCTTGGATGTTGATGTTTTACTAAAAAGTCAAGTTGGATTTAAATGTCTATACATTTTACATATGTATTTCTAGAAAGTTTTATATAGATAGGAGACTTTGATCAGATTTATAATTTATAAACTTCATTAAAACATTAATTAGTTGAACCTTCAACCCTTTCTTAAATAAAGAAGGGAGGTTTACAGATGAGTCAAGGGAATGAAAAACAGGAACCACATTTAAATCAGTGGTGAACTGCTTCCTGCCAGCTCTTAGTCTGCCTGCTCTATAAAACTATTGTTCTGGAACAAAAGGCACTGAAATATTTTCAGAGTAAACACAGTCATAACTACTTGGCCTTAACTTTCTTTTGAGGAACTGTTTATCTTTTGTTTGACTTTGAATGTACTTACTTTGTCCTTAGCTAAAACAAAGCAATAATATGCCCAGAAAAGAAAAATTGTACCAGTTCTAAAGAGAGTACCTAAAATTTTTCAAAATTATTTATTGAGCTACTTTGTACTTGTTATTCTTCTGGGTGTTGGATACATAGCAGTGAACAAACAGTGTTTTGCCCTGAAGGAGTTTACGTCTGTTGAGAAATAGACAATAAACAAATCAGGTAAAAAGGCGTGTTGTATTGCAAGTGGTGGTACTATTTAAATATGTGTACTCAGTCGCTCAGTCGTGTCTGACTCCGCAACCCCATGGACTGTAGACCCCCAGGCTCCTCAGTCTGTGGAATTTTCCAGGTAAGAATACTGGAGTGGGTTGCCACTTCCTTCTCCAGGGATCTTCCTGACCCAAGGCATCGAACTTGCATCACCTGCATTGGCAGGCAGGTTCTTTACCACTAGCGCCACTGGGGAAGCCTGAATAGTGGTGTGGACATTGATAAAAATAGGATAAGGAGGACAGAGTGTGTAGGTAGAAGCAGGGAGTTTCAAAATATACATTAGTCAGGGAAGAAGTCACATTTAAGGTGATAATTGATGAGAAATCTGAATGGACAGGTAGGTGTGCTATGACCTGTATTTTATTTTATTCTACTCTATTCTATCTGGTTGTGTCAGGAGGATCCCTTGGAGACGGATTAGGCTACCCACTCCATTATTCATGGGCTTCCTGGTGTCTCAGATGATAAAGAATCTTCCTGCAATGTGGAAGACCTAGGTTCCATCCCTGGGTTGGGAAGATCCCCTGGAGGAGGGCATGGCAATCCACTTAAGTATTCTTGCCTGGAGAATCCCCATGGACAGTGGAGCCTGGCGGGCTACAATCCATGGGGTCACAAAGAACAGGACACACAACACACATATGTGTGTGTATATGTGTGTGTGTGTGTATTTATATATAGATTTAATATGACCTGTATTTTAGAGGCTCATTCTGTCTGCTCCTTGGAAAACAGACCATAGTGGGTGAGGGTCGGGGGGAAGCTGGGAGGCCAGTGAAGTTTCAAGAGAGGTGATGGTTTGGGCAGTAGAGAGGGAGAAGAGGGAGAAGCAGTAGAGTTGATGAGAATGGTTGGCTTCTCACTTGTTTTGAATGTAGAAATGACAAGATAATTCCGCTGGATTAGACATAGGAGTGGAAGGAAGAGAAATGACAAAGATGACTAAAAGGTTTTTGGTCTGAGTGGCTAGAAGGATGGAATTACCATTTCCTGAGATGTGGGATTGTGGGAGAATCAGGTTTGGGGTTTTGTTCACCTTAAGCTTGAGACCTCCTGTAAGTAAATTCTGATTTGTGTCTGGATTTCAGGGAACTCGGTGTGACCGTTGACTTATGGGGAGTAAGGTTGTGAGCATTTCATTCTTAGACCTTGTCTTAGTTCAAGCGTCTGTAACAAAATACCGTAGACTGGGTGGTAAGCAGCATTTATTCCTCGAATTCTGGAGGCTGAGAAGTCCAAGATACACGTGCCAGCATATTTGGTGTCTGGTGAAGCCCCTCGTCCTGCTCTGCAGATGGCTGTCTTGTTAACGTCTTCACATTACAGAGCAGGGATGGGCAGATGGGAGCGCTGGTCGCTTCCTTTTCTTACAAGGGCCTCGATCCCATCATTGGGGCTCAGTACTCATGACCTCACATAAAACTTATTGCCCCTCAAAGGCCCTGTCTCCAAATGCCATCTCTTGGGGATTAGGGCTTCACATACGAATTTTGGGGGACACAAAACGTAGCAGCATTTAGGATCTCTAGGAGGAAAGATGCCGTGGAGTTTATGGTGATGAAAACCCATAGGGATGTGTGTGCATGCTAAGTTGCTTCAGTCGTGTTGACTCTGTGCCACCCTATGGACTGCAGCCCGCCAGGCGGCTCTGTTCATGGGGATTTTCCAGGCAGGAATGCTGGAGTGGGTTGCTGTGCCCTCCTCCAGGGGATCCTCCCAGCCTGAGGATCGAACCTGCTGCGTCTCTTAAGTCTCCTGCCTTGGCAGGAGAGGGTTTTTTTTTTTTTTTTTTTTTTTACCACTAGTGCCACCTGGGAACGCTAATATTTTTTATACTTGGTCTCCTATTATGTGTCAAGTACTCTGTTAGATAATTTTAGTAAATCATATCTAAGCTTCACAGCCAGTTTTTTGGTTAATCTTATCTTTACTGGTAATTTCTATACAGGTAAGTAAAGTGAAATGGCCAAAGTCATATAGCAAGTTGGTGGTGGGAATTTAGTTCAGTGTTCTTTGCAGTATCTCAACCCTTGTGCAACAAAGTCAAGTTTATTATTCCTGTTATTTAGTTTAGTAATACTTTCTGATTTTTTAAACCATTGAACATTTTCATTGTTATAATTTTTTATTTAGTAGGAGGTAGTATGGGTTTAATATACAATAGTTTATTTTAGTGTAGTTCTGGGAAATTTAGATCTTTGGCTCACATGGAATTAAATTTTTATATAGTCTTAGGTGGATTTTATTCTGGGGCTTCCCTGATGGCTTAAATGGTAAAGAGTCTGCCTGCAATGTAGGAGACCTGGGTTCAGTCCCTAGGTCAGGAAGATCCCCTGGAGAAGGGAATGGCAACCCACTCTGGTATCCTTGCCTGGAGAATTCCATAGACAAAGATCCTGGTGGGCTACAGTCCTTGGGATCACAAAGAGTCGGACATGACTGAGTGAAAATTTCTGTTTCTCTTTCTGTAGGTGGGTTCTATTCTAATTGTATAGTCAGTTATGACAAAACATTTATTAAAAAAGGCATCCTTTTTCTACTAAATTAAAAAGCCCACTTTATCTTGTATTGAATTTCCACGTATATCTGGATTTATTTCTAGACTTTCTTTTGTTTCACAATTCACTAGTCTATTTCTGTTACTGTTCATACCATTTTGATTATTTTAATTTTATAGTAAGCTTTATCACCTGGTAAAGCAATGCCTTGTTTTTTTTAATTGATGTATTGACTGACAATGTTTATTTTAGGTGTCAACATATGTTTGGTATTTTTTTTATGATTGTTTTCCATTTAAAGTTGTTAGAAAATAATGGCTCTATTTCCTCGTACTGTATAGTCTATCCTTTTAGCTTATTTAAGCAATGTATTCTTTTTCAGAAAATTTTTTGGCTATTTATAGACACTAATTTTCCCAAAAGCCTTTAACATAATTTCTTTCTAGTTCCAAAGAAGCCCAGTTGGGTTCTTGGTTGCAAGTGCCTTAAATTTATTTAGGTTTTATTTATATATATATTTTTCTTATATAGATCCCATATTGACCTTAAGTTTGTTTCTAGATATTTTATGGATGTATATAGTAATTATACACACACATATATAGTATATATATGTAATTTGTCATATAAAAATATAGTAATTTGTCAGTAATTTGAGATAGGCTTTAAATTTTCATCTGTAATTAGACATTACAGTTATAAGAAGAGCTTTGGTCTTTTGGAAACCTGACCAAATATCCAACCATCTTGTCAAATTCTCCTAATATAACAGAGTTGTCTTTTGGGAAGTTCTCTTGGATTTTGTAGGTTCAACAGCTCTAAATAAAATGTTATTTCTTTTACTCTCTGTACCAAACGTGACAGTGTTTGATGATTATCAAAAGCTGTTCTCTTCTTTCTTCTCCTTGTCTTTCTCCATAAACATACTGGAAAAGTCAAATACTTACTTTACTTGAATCTCTTGACACTAAGTAATCTTGTCAATCTACTGGAGGAATTCTGGGGAAAGTATCTTTAAGTTTTGATGGAAAATTGTTAATCTTATTTCTCTGTTTTCTTTCAACCCTCTCTTTTTTAAAATGATGAAATATTTTAATATCAATTACAGGCCATAAGTAAATCCTTCAGTATAAACCTTTTTAAAATGAACTTTTCCCTATATAGTAAAAATAACATTACATCTAACAAAATTAAGCCTAATTTCTTAATATCAACTGATTACTTATTCCATATTCAGATACCACAGTTGTACCTAAAATGTCTTAGCTAGTTTGTTCAAACCTGGGCCCAGTCTAGGACCATGCATTGCATGATATTGAATTATCCCTTAAGTCTTTTGAAAATGTAGAAGGGTCTCTTTTTTTCATGCCCCTGCTTTGCTGAAGGGATTGGGCCAGTTGTCCTTCAGAATATCCTACCTTCTAGATTCTGTTTTCTCATGGCATTGATTTAGCTAGTAAACTGAATGCTAGGTTCAAGGGATTGATTAGATTCGTATTAAATACTTCGGGAGGTTACATCACTGGAGATGGTGTAATACAATCTGTTCTACCTTCGGCAGTGCTAAGTTTGACTAGTGGATTACAGTGGCTCTGTTTCTCCTTTGTGAAGTTACATTTCCCCCCTCTTGTGACTAGAAAGCACTTGTGTAATGTTACTTGGCACCATATCAATATCCATTTGCTTAATGATTTTAAAACTAGTTAGTCTGAATCTGAATCTGTTCTTTAGTGGGTTGTAAAATGATGATTTTCCTATTACTTTCCTCTCCTTTTATTGACTGATACTCTTCAGTAAAGTTGAGATTATCTGCTGTTTCAGATTATAGTTCTGGCTAGAGAGTCAGGATAAACATTTAATTTAAAATCTTTAATTACTCATTTTCAAAGGAGGTGATTGATTGGTAGCCACTTTAAGTATAGACAGATGAGTTTTTGGCTTTCTCTCTGAGTGTTATTATGGATTCTTGGGTTTTCATAGATTGAACATGATTTGCGAAGTACAGTCACTGTCTTGCTGGTCCGTCTTGCTTTTGGTGTCTTAAGATCTTTCTAATCCCAGGATCATAAACGTATTCTGCTGGGCTTTCTTCCAGTATTTTTAATTGGTTGTATGTTTTATGGTGAGTGTTTAACCATCAGGGATTAATTTTTATACATTGTGCACAGGATGATCAATTTTCCTAATCCTGTGGTAGTGTTTTTATTACTATAGGTTTAATTGGGGCTTCCCTGATAGTTCCATTGGTAAAGAATCCTCCTGCAATGCAGGAGACCCAGGTTCAATCTCTGGGTGGGGACGATCCCCTGGAGAAGGGAATGGCAGGCCACTCCAGTATTCTGGCCTGGAGAATCCCATGGACAGAAGAGCCTGGTGAGCTATAGTCCATGGGGTCACAAAGAGTCGGACACAACTTGGTGACTAAACCACCACATAGGTTTGATTACATATATATTTTGTTAGCTATAGTCCAGTTTTCCTTTCTTTTGATACTGGTTTTTGGCTGTCTTTTTACTATTGTTTTATATGTTGTTATTTTATATTATTTTTAGTTTTGTTAAGAGAATGTGGCCAATAATTCTCAGCTTAGTCTAATTTATTAAGCTACTTCTGGTAAATAAGTATAAATAGGATATGTATTTGCTGATGTCAGGGAATATCTGTGATTAGGTGGAAAATCATGTGAAGACTCATGTGCACTGTATGATTCAACTTTATAAAAATGAACAAGAATCAAAACAGCCTCTGTATATGTATCTGTTTGTGTGAGCAAGAAGCTACTTACCAGCCTGCTAGTTTTGGTTATCATAGAAGTACGAAGTTGGAGAAAGAGTGGATCTCTTATTTTAAAGGGAAAACGAGTTACTTTTAGACTTTAAAAAACTATAAAATACATATATATATTTCACAACTATATACGAATTGGGGAAACTATCTAGGGATGTAGCTTCGTCTCAAGGTTCCACGGACTGCTATTCAAGAGTACTTTCCATGGATTGCTATTCAAGAGCTGCCATTTCCTGTTCCTTTTAAGGATTCCATTGTGTGTGTCGGGTTGGTTCTCAGTTTCCCCACCTGCTGGTTTGGCATTTGACTTATACCTAAGACTAACTGCTATTCCGGGGCTTCCCTGGTAGCTCAGGTGGTAAAGAATCTACCTGCAGTGCAGGAGACCCCAGTTTCATTCCTGGGTTGAGAAGATGCGCTGGAGAAGGGATAGACTGACTACACACTCCAAAATTCTTGGGCTTCCCTGGTAGCTCAGCTGGTAGAGAATCCGCCTGCAATGCGGGAGATCTGGATTCGATCCCAGGGTTGGGAAGATCCCCTGAAGAAGGGAAAGGCTGCCCACTCCAGTATTCGGGCCTGGAGAATTCCATGGACTATATATAGTAATGGGGTGGCAAAGAGTTGGACACGACTGAGTGACTTTCACTTTCACTAGTTCGTCTGCTTTCACCTTCCAGAATTCTGTTGCCATCTCCTTTCCTGTTTTGCCTCACCTTATTTATTCACATCATCAAGACAGTTCATTTATTGTACTTTCAGTGGAATTTGAGAGGCAGCACATTCTGCTAATTTGACAGGTTGGTTATAGGGAATTGCGTGCTAACAAAATGGTAGAAAGTGATGATGCCTGCTTCATCTGTAGCAGTGATCAATAGGTACTTCCATCAAGCCTCCTGGCATCCACAAAGCTAATTATGGGGCAGTGGACAGCGTCAAGAAAACCCTGAGCCCCATAGCTGCCGGCTAGCTGGAGTGTGGTCTGAGTTGAGGCTCTGCCTTCTGTGTCTTGCTCAAGTCCCCCCAGTTGACAGAACTGAGATCACTTTTGGGAACTGTAGCTTTAAGAGGTTTTAGGAGTCTTTTAGCTTTGCAAGAAGTAGTACCAGTTTGAGGGAAAAATGGATGTTGAGTGAACCAATCCACGGTATCTTCCATCATAATCCAAAGATGATAAGTAGGAAGATTTTTCATTGTCCAGTAACACTTCAGAACTAATTCATGTACATCAATGCTGGACTTAATTTCCTTGTTTTGACGTCTTCTTTTTAAACTGCTTTGTCAGTGTGGTTTTTAACTTGTAAATAGTGTAACTGTTTCTAACTTTTTAAAATTTTGAAATATTTAAACACACAGAAGTATACAGTGAAAATCCCATATCCTCACCACCCGGTTTTATTGAATCTTCACATTTTACTGTATTTGCATCATGTCTCTTCTCACCTGCAAAGTAATAGAACATTAGAGAGCTAAAGTCTCTTATCTCCCTCTCTTCTCAGAGATACTCTGCTATTTAGTCAGTCCTATGTGGTTTTCATATATTATTATATACCTGTATCGACTTTAACCGTAAATAGTGCTGTGTTGCCAGTTTTCGAGGTTCATGTAAAGCTATCCTGCTAAACATTCTACAACATGCATTTTGCTTGAGATGTTTTTACTGTTTCTATTGTGATACATGAATTCTAGTTCACTCACTTTAACTGCCGTAGATTTTGGGACTAGGCCAAAATTGTATTAAACCATTTACCTCTTGACAGACATTAAGTCATTAAATATGCTCCAGGAGCATTCGTGTATATTTTTTGCTTTTTAAATTAACCATCGATGTTGTCATATAGGAGTACAGCATTTCAGGGTAATGTACTTTTGCCTCTGATTTGAAAAAATTATGTAGAAACTTACAATATGCCCCGTTTAGGGGGGCATCCATCCTGAAATGAAGGGAGGCCTCAGAGGTGTGACTTTCTGAATTTTGTGCGAAAGACCTGAAGGTTGTTGTGATGGCTTTGGGATTTGGGAAACTCCTTCGTCTACTCTTCCGTGCTCATCCTCAAAAGGCAGGAAAGACCCTGACTTTTGAAAGTATTTCCTACCACAAGGGTTTGACTAGAACGAATCTTTTATAGGACAGAATATTTACCGTCTGTTTATCTGTGTTCTTACTGTTTCAGACAGAATATTGTTGCGGGACATAAAAGCTCTCACCCTCTACTATGACCGCTACACCACTTCCCGGAGGTTGGATCCCATCCCACAGCTGAAATGCGTGGGAGGCACAGCTGGATGCAACTCGTACACCCCTCAGGTCATACAGTGTCAGAACAGAGGCTGGGATGGTTACGATGTACAGGTAATATTGTTATGGCGATGCCAGTCTAAATTGAGTTTTTTTCAGAAAACTGTTTATTGAGACGTTCAGTATTTTGGGCAAGCACATATAGAAAAGCTAAGGTTATGCTAAAATATATAAATATAAATTAGTCATCCATTCTCTGGAAGAAAGCTTCTCCAAAAGAAATGGATTGCTTTTAAAGCCTGGAAATATTCATTGTAATTTTTATGTTATCACTTTTTTCTAAGACATTAGTAAGTTCTTAAAACTTTTCATATACTTGGGGGGTAGGGGGAAGATTTCTTCTGGTTGTTATTTTTCTGTCATTCCTCAAAGAATACCAACCTACCCTTAAAAAATAACGATTATTAAGGCATTGTAGATTGTAAGTAGTGGGGTTACATGTGTCGCTATTATGCTTCAAATGTTTGATTTTAAAGTTGTTTTTGAACTGAGGATGGTTCTGAATGAAAACATTTCATTGGGCTCTGTTTATTGTCTTTAAGTCTCAGGTATTTTGTTCTTAGGCTCGACCATCTCCTTGAAGTTCCAAAATTTACTATCCTTTAGAAATGGAATAGATTTTATTAACTGAATTCAGTTTAAATCAGTACTATTAGATTTCTACTTTGTATCATACCTGCTTTCAAAAAGGACCTAAGATGGTTGGTCATCTTGCAAGAAACTTGTGTTGACAATTTACTGTTCCATCAGAGTGATAGTCTTATTTGATATAATCTTTAACCAAGTTTATGCAAGTCAGGGAGAGAGTTCTTATTTGCTTGGTGATACTTGTTTCACAATACTTTTTTATAGTCTTGCTAACTGAACCATGGGATCTTCAGGTTAAAGCTGAAATTACTTTTGTATTACTTTTCAGTCTTGATGGAAAAAAGATACCATCAGTAAAGTCATTCACTTAACGTATATTAAATAGTACAGTACAAAAATGAATGATGGAGTCACAACCCCCGAGAACCTCTCTTCCTAGTAGAAAAGATGAGACAAGCGCTCACATTACATCTAGGTGCCAACAAAGTATTGTAAAGTCATGTATTGTTGGGAGGATTGGGAAAGACTTCAAGAGGAAAACTATGATGTGCTGTGTTAGTAAGGAATGATAAGATTTTTAGAGCTGAAGAGATAGAGAAGGAAGTGAATGGCAGAGCAAAGAAATCTAGAGGCCATCACACATTGACTTATGTTTAGTAGCGCTAGAGAGCCTCGTTTAACTCTGAGAGTTTAAATATAATAATTAAAAGCCACTTCTAGTATATACTATTAAGGAAATGACAGTTAACATGAAATACCAATAGAGATTGAGTTTGTCTTATTTACCTAAATCAACAAGCTTATTTAAATCTTCCTTCAAATAAAATTATTTAAAAAATGGAGTAGTGGTAGCAACAACTGCACAATAGAAAAATTACATATTATATTATCCAAATTTAAAACTTTTAGTCTTCCAGAAAGTGAAAAGGATGTATACAAAAGGAGAAAGCTTTTGCAGTCATATATCTGATTGGGAACTATCCAGAGTATGTGAAGAGCTGTTACAACTCAGAAGATTGATAACCAGATTTAAAAGTGGATAAGGCATTTAACTAGACATTTCTCTAAAGAAGATATACAGATGGTCAATAAACATGTGGAAAAAAAAATGTTCCACATCATTAGCTGTCAGGGAAATAGAAGTTAAAACCTCAGTAAAATACCAGTTCATACCAAACAGGATGCCTGCCATCAAAAATACGCAATAACAAATGTCAATGAGGATGTGAGAAACTCATACACTGCTGTTGGGAATGTGAACTGGTATAGCCACTTTGAAAAACTGGCAGTTTCTCAAAAGTTTAAAACATGTATGCCCCAGTCATTCCACTCCTAGGTGTTCACCCAAGAGAAGCGGAAACGTGTGTCCACACAGAAACATACTAAATGTTTGCAACAGCATTTTTCACAAAAAAGCCAAAAAACAGGAACAGCCCAAGTGTCCATCGGTGATGAATGAATAAATAAAATGGGGTATTTCCATACGATGGAATATTTTTGAGCCACAAAAAGGGAATGAAGTGCTGATTCATGCTACATGTGTGAACCTTAAAAACATTCTGCCAATGAAAGAAGCTAGTCACATAGGACCACATATTGTATGTTTCCATTTATGTGATATGTTCAAAATAGGGGAATCCTTGCAGACAGATTGGTGGTTGCCTAAAGTTGGGAGACTGGCGGGGAAACGGAGTGATTTCTCATGGAGGTGAGATTTCTTTTGGGGGTGATGAGAATATTCCAGAATTGGTTGTGGTGATGGCGGCACAGCTCTGTGAACATACTACAAAGCAATGGAATGGGTGAATGTCTAGTATGTGAATTATATATGAATAAAGCTGTTACAATGTTTCTGAAGTTTGAGAGAGGAAGATATTGTCCAAAAAAGAGAAAAGCAACAGAACCAATCAGATCTATTTTAGCTTTTTTTTTTTTTAGCTTATGTTTTAAAAAAAGTTGTTAGAGAAGCATTCAGCTGAAAATAGTTAGAAAATTCAAACTAGGCCTGGACTTTTTTTTAAGCTGGAAAATTTGAGGCTAGCATAGATTCTTTTTTTGTTTTTCTAAGTATCTTTAGAAAAAGCTTTAAGCACAGTGCTTCTTGGATTGGACCTTGGGAATGGTAGTTCATGGTTTTAGTAGAATTTGCATGGAAAGTTTTTCTCAGATTATATACTATCTCTAATGCTGTATGGAGCTACCAGGTACTCATATATGATGCTGATTTTTGAACCTTAATGTTTTTAAAAAAAACTATTTTTAAAGAAAGTTGCTTCAACAACAGTGATTAAAAAGTTGACATTTTAAAAAATTTGCTTAAAATTTATAAATTAGGGAAGGTTTAATATGTACAAAAGAATTCTTCACATTTATATGTAAGAAATAAGGAATAGTAATAAATGAGCACTCCTGTACCCACCACCTAGCTTCAGTAGAACGTGAACATCACCAATATCTTTGAAGCTCCTAGTTTGCCCTCCCCCAGCACAGAAATACTCATTCTGAATTTTGCTTATTATTCCCTTGCTTCATTTTATTGTTTGGGCTTCCCTGATAGCTCAGTTGGTAAAGAATCTGCCTGCAATGCGGGAGACCCTGGTTTGATTTCTGGGTTGGGAAGATCTGCTGGAGAAGGAATAGGCTACCCACTCCAGTATTCTTGGGCTTCCCTTGTGACTCAACTGGTAAAGAATCCGCCTGCAATGCAGGAGACCTAGGTTTGATCCCTGGGTTGGGGTGATCCCCTGAAGAAGGGAAAGGCTACCTACTCCAGTATTCTCGCCTGGAGAAGTCCACGGGGTCCATGGAGAAGTCCATGGGGTCTCAGAGTCGGACACGACCGAGAGACTTTCATTCACTCATACAGGCCAAATAATGTATAATGAGTGGAAAAAAAAATCTTACGATTCTAATAACCTATTTCTACTTTTTCTTCACAGTGGGAATGTAAGACCGATTTAGATGTCGCATACAAATTTGGAAAAACTGTGGTGAGCTGCGAAGGCTATGAATCCTCTGAAGACCAGTATGTACTTAGAGGTTCCTGTGGCTTGGAGTACCAGTTAGATTACACGGAACTTGGCCTGAAGAAATTGAGAGAGTCTGGAAAAGACCATGGCTTTAACTCATTCTCTAACTATTATAATAAGTTGTACTCCCCAGAGTCTTGTAACCTCAGTGGAGTGGTTACCATCGTGGTGCTGCTTGCTATTGCCTTTGGAGTTTATAAATTCTTCCTCAGTGATGGTCATGAGTCACCTCCACCATATTCTGAGTACCCTCCATATTCCGATCGTTATCAGAGATTCACCAACTCAGCCGGGCCTCCTCCTGCAGGCTTTAAGTCTGAGTTCACAGGTATGTTTTCCTAGGCAATGGCAGTGAGTAAGGTAGAAGTCAGGTAATGAATCCTGTGCGGGTTTCTGAAGTAGAAAAATGCTCACATTGGGAAACCAAAGCAGATTTGTCTTCTTAATTTTTACTTTTGACTTTTTTTTACTGCTTTGGTTTTCTCTTTTAAGTCAATTGTGATTACTATTTTAAGGATGTGTGATTAAATTATAAATTACCTAGTCAGACTTATTTAGATTTGGTAATAACCTTGAACTCTGTTTCATACCATACACAAAATTTTATTCATTAAATATTACGGAGTTCAACATAAAAGGTACAACAATTAGGTTTCCAGAAGGAAACATAGGAAAATATTTGTCACAATAGGCAAACATGTCTTTGAGTACAAAAAATACCAGCCAAAAAGAAAAGATGGGAAAGTTAGATTAAATTAAGAATGTCTAGTCATCTAAAAACAACTTTAAGAGAGTGAAAAGGCAAGCCACAGACTGGGAGAAGGTATCTGTAAAACGTATTTCCAACAGTGGACGTTTGTCTACAGTAAAGAACTCCCATAAATAGAGAAAAGACAGACAACTGAATTTTTTTAGTGGACAGAGGATTTGAACAGCTTTTTTTTTTTAATAGTAAAAGAAGATATCCAGATGTCCAGTAAAAATTTGAAAAGGTGCTTAGCATCATTCATCTTCAGGAAAATGCAGATTAAAACCTGAGTTCTTAATTAACTACCATTTAATCATAATGGCTGACGTTAAAAGGGCAGACTACCAAGTAATGGCAAGGATGTAGTTAACTGGAACTTGCTGGAAGAGGTTAAACTGATAAAACACTATGGAAAACTGTTAGTATCTATTGAAACAAGACACACGTCACCCAGTGACCCAGCAGTTTCATTCTGAGATGCACACCTAAGGGAAATGCACACGTGTGCACAGAAAGATGCGCACAGGAATGCTCAGGGCAGTGTATTCATAGCAGCGAGAAACTGGAAATGGAATGTCTGTAAACGTTAGGGTGAAACCGTTTTTTTTTTGTTTTCCCTCACATTAGAATACTATAGAAAAATTTAGAAAAAACGAAAACAAAACTGGTACATGCAGTGGTGAAGGTCGACTCTCATGGACATAATATATAGCAGACACAGAAGACTATCTCTGTATGACTCTGTTTATAAAAAGTTCAAGACAGGGTAAAACCAAAGTGTAGTGGGAGAAGTCACAGTCGGCTTCTCTTTGGAGTGGGAGTTGTCATGAGGGCGTCTGGGTGCTGGGAAGTTTTTACTGATGTGGGGGGTGGTTACGCGCATGGGTAGTGCATGCAAATGTATTACACATGGGCTTATCTGTAAGAGCTGTACACGTAGGATTCGTGCCTTCTTTTATGTATATCACACAGCAGTTCTTCCTCTGAACAGATGGTATTTTTTGGGTCTGTTTTAAAGACCTGACTTCCCAACTAACAAATACCCTCCCCTTGAATCCTCCACTAGACACTCAGGTGCAGCTCTCACCTGGCGCCTCTGGAGATGCCCACGAGGTAGAAGGGAAGTAACTGACACGTGTGGTCGTCTTCCAGTAGCTGATCTGGAGCAGGGTGGATGTGACCTTTCAGGAAGAAAGCACCTTTCACTGTCCTGAAACACGTCCCTCCTCCTCCATGTGTGTGGGAAAGGGAGGCACTCCTTAGTTATAAGAATGATTTTTGAGTACATTTTTTGAATATAACTTGTTTATAAGCTGAGACTAAAGTATTATTATTAAATAATACACATGAAGCAATCGAAATGTCATATTTTACCTTTAGTTTTGCAGGCGATGATTTGTTTAAGAGAGGATACATAAGAAAATCATTTTTATTTCCAGGACCGCATGGTGCAACTGCTGGTTTTGGCAGTGCTTTCACCGGACAACAAGGGCACGAACGTTCAGGACCTGGGTTCTGGACTGGCTTGGGAACTGGAGGGATATTAGGATATTTGTTTGGCAGCAACAGGTAGGCTTTGCATTTATCTTAGCTGCTCTTCAATTCAGCCTTTCTTTAGAGGTTTCTTTGTCTTGTAAATATGACTGGATTTGTTAAGGAAGTAAATGCTGGTGACATATGAACCTGTTAAATCAGATTCTCTGGGGGTGGGGAAGGAATGCTGTCTGTGCTTCAATCAGTGTTATATATGTCTTGTTTTCTTTCATCTGTCATGCTTACAGATATGAGATAGGGGAGAGATGTTGACGTCTGAGAAGGCAGGAAAGAACATGGCATTTGGGGCACAGTTGGTGTTGTTAGCTGGAGAATGACAGAAGCAAGGGTCAAAACAGCTTGGGACCTATTTTTTTTAATGTCTTCAGTGTTAACTGTAGTTTAAGTTTATATTGTATTTGAGTGTGAATTCAGAAAGGAGCCTTTATTCATGTCATTTTCTTCCTTCATAACAGTGACCATAACAAGGGCAGAAATATAAAACAATATTTATTTCATGTTAATCCTCATATGATGGGCTTCCCTGGTGGCTCAGTGGTAAGGAGTCCACCTTCCAGTGCAGGAGACGTGGGTTTGATGCTGGGTGGGGAAGATCCCCTGGAGGAGGGCATGGCAACCCACTCCAGGATTCTTGCCCGGAGAATCCCATGGACAGAGGGGCCTGGCAGACTACAGTCCATGGGGTCGCAAAGTGAAAAAAAGTGAAAGTTGCTGAGCTGTGTCCAACTCTTTGCGACCCCATGGACTATAGTACGTGGAATTTTCCAGGCCAGAATACTGGAGTGGGTAGCCTATCCCTTCTCCAGGGGATCTTTCCAACACAGGAATCGAACTGGACTCTGCTGCATTGCAGGCAGATTCTTTACCAAAGAGTTGCACACAGCTTATTGACTAAATAACAACAACAAATCCTCATGTACCAGAAACACTATGGGAAAAAATATTCGATAAAAATTGTCTCCTGATAGTTTAGGAACAGGAAGGGATTTAAAAAGCATAGTCACAAGGAAAATGCCTGCCCCGCTTTTTTCTTTCTAGAGCAGCAACCCCCTTTTCAGACTCGTGGTACCCGTCCTATCCTCCGTCATACACCAGCACGTGGAATAGCCGGGCTTACTCACCGCTTCGGGGAGGCCCTGGAAGCTATTCAGCATGTTCAAGCTCAGAGCCAAGAACCAGAACAGCATCAGGTGAGAGCAAAAATCAGTAAGCCCATGTTCAGTGGAGTACAGAAGTAATTTGGACCTTAGAGTTACGGTTTAGGTGGTATACCTATCAGAAATAGTAATTGCATAATTAATTGCAATAAAAGTACAATTCAGATTCATTCTTTCCTTCCACTTCTCTTCTTTAAAACTCAAACAGAAATTTGGTTTAGAGACTCCCTTCTACTGCTAGTCAGGGTTTTAACTTAAACTGTCATGAACATTGGTATCCATCTATATTTAATTCTGTTAAATCTCTAGGGGTCCTTTAAGCTCTAAAGTGGGAATTTTCTAGGTAGAAGGCTGAACATTTCAGTTCAGTAAAGCTCAATAAAAATGTATTGAGCCATTCTTCCATTTACATTATTGTAAAAAATATGTTTATTGCAGTTGCTAAGAGGAAATTTTGTAAATAAGCAGAGATGAGATATATATAAAAAAATTACTTGGGGTTAAGCATCCAGCTAATTAGCAGAGAATGGGGGTAGTGGATGATGAAGCAGTAATAGATTGCTGTGGGTTGGATTTTTCTTCTCTTCACAAAGAGTAGAAGTTACAGAACAGTGAATAATTCTTGAAATTAGGAGAATAGAAAACTCATTCTCCGTGGAAACAAGAATTGTAAGAAACCATATATATCAATTAGAAAAGAAATTTTTCTTCTTACATGAAGAAAATCATAATATTAGCAAATAACTTATAGGAAAGTCTGAAAAAGAATGAAAGTCTGAAAAAGAATGAGGACAGATGGAAACACTTGTGGTTTTCTAACGTGTTGGTCTATGTGTGAGTGCGCGCATGCGTGTTGACTAGGTAACATTTACCATCAAAAGTCCATAACCCTCCCCCAGGTTACTTGTGTTTACCACTGGAGTCATGAGAGGCAGCAGGGCCTGACCTAGGCTTCAGTGGCTTTTCTGCTGTTTGGCTTAGACTTTGAGAATCGCCTGTACTATGTCAGGCTGCCCCCAGAGAACACATCTTTAGTTTCCTGCTTAAAAGTTACTCCCAGCAACCATGATGCTGATGGGAGGACTGGAACGGCTGTTGGGGGGCCGGGGCGGATGCTCTGTGTCCTGCACAGCCCTGGGCCACAAACTGCTTCTCTTCTTCCCTCATATCTCTTATTCATTTGCTGACAGTAAATGTGTATTACTGTTGTCATCTTATAAGCAGTTCTAGTGCATTTCAGAAAACTAATATGAAATTTTCCTTCTCCTTCTAGGATATGGTGGAACCAGAAGACGATGAGAAAGTTAAAAGTTGGGGTCAAACACTGGATGCAAAAGTTCTGATGTTTCATCACTTTCTCTTATAAAACGTGCTCCCTACTAACAGCTGGGGAAAGGGAATATGCAAAAGTTCTGTGGTGTTTTGTCCTGTATGGCTTTCTGTATTCTGTTATTTGAGGCTAAGAGTTGACATATGACAGAATGCTTATGTAGACAACTGTATATTTGTGTAACATGCAGATGTGTATTATATTTGAAAGTGATGACTCCTGTGGAATGCTAAGAATGTGTTGTGCAATTTCTAAAACCTGTGATGCTGTAAGAATAAGAATGAAGGCTTTATACCAGTAGACACTGAATCAGAAATTTTCAGTTTTAGGTGGTTTTAGTTGTTGATTCATTATATCATAGAAATGATAATAAGCTATGTGGTATGTATTATTGAGTGTTTGCTGCTCTCCAAACATTTAAACCAAGCTTTGGACTGCTAATTATACTTACCTGTATGTTTTGATCACTTCTGAGCTCAGGAGCTTTGAATCTGTCAGTGGTGGGTGGGGTTCTGGTAAGTGAGAATTACCTTTTCTTAGGAAAAGGTAGAAAATAAGTATCTAGAAGGTTGTCATGAATGACTGCTGACAAAAATGCTTGAAACCTCCATATTCATTTTTTAAAGAAGGAAAGTTCAAGTGCTTCAAAGTTTTCTAATAGCAGAGGCATGCAATTTTCTGTGGAATCTCAAATGTTGTGTAGCAGTCTGTTTCAATCTTACATTAAAATGACAGAAAAAATAAAAACAAAGGGCTTTGTTCTTTCTATCAGCATCGACACAAGTCAGTGTTACTTTTTTTCCCAAAGGAGAAGGGATTCATGCAGAAGTTCTCTATCCCTAAACAGTAGTTTCCTGTGGTAGTCTTGCCTTAGCTACCTGTCACACACAAAACCTCAGTTCAGGAATTCTCAGTTATGCTCATTAAACATCATTATTTTGCTGTGGAAGACAGGAACAGATTTGTGTTGTTATTATCACTACAAATGCTACTAATTCTTTAAAAAATTTTTTTCTTTTATTGAGATAATAGTTGATATACAGTATGGTGACTCGCAAGTTTTGAAGGTTAAACTCCCCTTATTTTTTGTTGTTCAGTCGCTCAGTCGTGTCCGACTCTTTGTGACCCCATGGACGGCAGCACGTCAGGCTTCCCTGTCCATCACCAACTCCCAGAGCTTGCTCAAACTCATGCCCATCGAGTCGGCGATGCCATCGACCATCTCATCCTCTGTCGTCCCCTCCTCCTGCCCTCAGTCTTGCCCAGCATTGGGGTCTTTTCTAATGAGTCGCCTCTTTGCATCAGGGGCCTACTGCTAAGTTTTGTACCTACAGTAGTCATTGTACCTTAACCAGTGGATTTCAGGATTTTTGCTTTTTTAAACTTCCTCCAGGCTTCTTGCTTCCTTGAAAATTTTGGATTGGGTAACTTTGGAAAGCAATGCCAGGTTGTATTTTTTCTGACATAGAATGGCTCATGGTATCTCCTAATCAAAAAATGTTAAGAAGTCGCCTGTCATGGCACAGAGAATCTAAAACTTCGAAATGTATATTGGCAGCATTGGTTGCCACTGCCTAGCTTTTCCTAAATTCTTTTTTTCTTTTCATCACTAGAGGGCAGTGATGCTCCACTATACAAAGTTGGTGGGCAGTGACGTCTCTGAATATCTTGTGGGCTGTAAACCTGCTGTAGACTTATTAGGGAGATAAGCTTCTCCTGGCCTGCTACCAGAATATAAGGGTTGCTTATATTACAGTTTTTTCACACAAGATGTTCCTGACCTATTAGAACAAGAGACACTGGTCTCCCATTTTCAGTCACATAGGACTTAATTCTTTTCTATACAAGAAAGTGCATCCAGATTCGGATGACGTCTCATCTTTCTCACTGTTGCTGCTCAGGCTCAAGTCACCATCACCTGCCACTCGGTGAGGTCTCCGCTGATGGCTCGCATCCCTTAGGGTGGACCGGTGACAAACGGTCCCCAAGTCTGACTAGCTTAAATCAAACAAGTAGGGGTTTCTGCTCATCACAGTTAACTCAGGGATTCTGGTTGACTGGAGCCTCCTCCTGGCATGTTCAGCTGTGGCTGTCACAAGGGAAGGGTGTGTGGAGAATCACACACTATTCTTAAATGGCCAGATTTCCTCAAATTAATGAACACCTGTTCAAGAACATCAGAAACATCTATTGACTAAGGTTTTTGAGTTCCCATAGGACAAGCTTTTTAAAAATAAGACACCTCATTTGGCTTCACTTAAAAATATATGAAAAGTGAAAGTATCAGTCACTCAGTTGTGTCCGACTCTGCGACCCCATGGACTATAGTTCACCAGGCTCCTCTGTCCATGGAATGGAGTGGGTAGCCATTCCCATCTCCAGAGGATCTTCCCATTCCAGGGATGGAACTCGAGTCTCCCTCATTGCAAGCAGATTCTTTACCTGAGCCCTGGTCTGAGTCCCTAGGGAAGCCCAAATATATAAGCATCATCTAAAGTATGAATTCCAACCTCCATTTAAAGAAACAAGCATAATTGATTTATAATATTGTGTTAGTTTCAGGTATACAACAAACTGATTCAGATATGTATATATATGTGTGTTTATTTTCCATTGTAGGTTATTACAAGGTATTGAGTATAGTCCCCTATTGAGTATAGTGTTTTACAGTAAATCCTTGTTGCTATGTGATCTCCATTTTATAAAGTTTTCATCAGTATCTTGAAACAACTGTCCTGTGTATTCTTCCCTATCTACTAGCTTTGTCTGTCTGACAATCCTCTACCCTGCACTGGCCCAGCTCACTGTATGGCCCCGGGGAAAAGGTCCAGTCATGGGACCTTCTCTCCTGTCTGTGGTGCCTTCCGTTTTGGGTACCTCCCTTCTTTCTGCCGTGGCCACTCCTTTCTTTTCATACTGTGAAAGGGTGGGCCTTGGGGGAGTTTAATGAGACTGTGTTGCTAGGACAGCGCAAGATGTAGTGAGAGGAAGAGGAAAGATGATGGGACAACTCTTCTGGCTGCACCTCCCCCTTCCCCACTGCCAACCGCCACTGTCAACCGCTGGTCCCAGCCCAGGGGAGTGGCATCCTTTTTCAATCCTTCAGCCTTTTCTCAGAGTCCCTAATGTGCCCAGCTCCCCCGCCTCATGTTGGGGTGATGACTGACTCTGAACTGCAGCTGGGGGAGACGGGGAGCAGGCAGGAAGCCCCAGAGGCTGCATCACCAGCGCTCACAAGCCACGCCCCAGGCCAGGAATCTGACTGGTCCTCTGGTCCCATCGGGTTAAAAGGTCAGATATCCAAAGGCAATGCCTCATTTTTTTCAAACCTTGGGTCGGGGTTTTGTTCTCTCTGATCAAAAGAAGAGAAAAGTGAATTTACAGCTGGCAAATCAACAGATTATGATGCTGCTCATGAACCATAGCTAATCTTAGCTATTAAGCAACATCTGGGTTCCTCTTCTTGAAAGTGTCTCAAATGTGACTTTTCTTTCTCAGATATGGTGTAGGGGAAACAGGACTGAGAATCTCTGCCTATATCCATCTTCCTTAGTTCGATTTCCTCCCCACCCCAGGCGCTAGGCTGTTTTCTTGCAAGTGATGTCACGGAAATTTTGTGAAGAGAAACTGTGGAACATCTGGATGCCTTGTTCTCCTGTGTCAGGCGTCGGCAGAGATCAAAGCAGCAAATTCAGCCTCTATGGTCAGTTTTAGATTTTCTTGTGAATAGTTACTCATTTTAAAATGTATTACAGAATATATCAAGTATGAGAAAAGTATGGAGAAAAGTTTATCAAGTATCCTTGTATCTACCATCCAAATGACAAAATTTTGTCATATCTATTTCAGATCTCTCAATCTATCCATCTAATAGATATTATAATCTATTGTATATATGTATTCAATCTATATGTACATGATAATTATATACATAACTAGTATTAATATATAGGATATTATATTATTGGTTTCACTTGCTGTGCCAAAGCTTTTAAGTTTGACAAGGTCCAATTATTTATTTTTGTTTTTTGTTTCCCTTATCTGAGGAGACAGATCCAAAAAAATATTGTTAAGACTGATGTCAAAGAGAGTATAACCTATATTTTCTTCTAGTTTTATGGTTTCAGGTGTTACATTTAGGACTTTATATTGAGTTTCTTTTGTACATGGCATGAGAAAATATTCTAATTTTATTCTTCTACATGTAGTCCAGTTTTCCCAATATTATTTATGGAAGAGACTGTCTTTTCCTTGAATATTCTTGCCTCCCTTGTAGATAAATTGACCATATATGCATGGGTTTATTTCTGGGCTCTCTATTTTAATCCTATGATTATTTATTTTTATGCTCAAAAAACTCAATCCCCTTCAAAAACCCTTCCAAGTTCTCATGCATTATGTGTTGAACTGTATGAAATTGCCATGACTGTAGGTCAAGAATCATCAAAAATCAGTAATTTTGTAAGGTTCCATCTAATACTTGCTTCAGAGTTTAAGTTCTATTTTGAAATTATGAGAGGAAGAAACAGCAGAAGGATGAAATTTTGATAATAGAATACAGATGAGGGCTCCCTCTCTGGGGACAGACAGAAAAGTCCCCAGGTGTTGAATTTGTTCCCCCTTCATCCTTCAATTGCTAGGCATTTCTTCAATTTTATTGTAATTTAGTTACTTGATTTTAACTTGGCCTAGTTTAAAATTTTATCAGAAAGTTGCAGGAAGATTATATTTCGCAGTGTGTTGGATTGGCTTATGTATTCAAAATTTCAAAAATCCCGTTTTGGAAGTGAGCATTAGGAACAGGAGCTGGCCAGCTTGCTAGTTAGTTGGCAGGGACCTCATTAGTGAGCTCGTAAGGTGGCCTGCCGAGTGATGGGACAAAGGATGGAGACGGAATTTACATACTTCTCCATCTGATCTTGTTAACACTGAGAGCTGATTAATAATTGTGGAGAGAATAAAGGTCCTG